CAGATGGCCTTGGTCTTTAATCACGGTGTGTGTGTGTGTGTGTGTGTGTGTGTGTGTGTGTGTTTGTGACTGTGTGAGTTGCAGTAAGCGATCCATAACGATCTGCAGGTGGATTGTGCTGATTAGTACCGGCTGCTGTGGACTGAGCTGCGTGCAAAGAGCTTCCTGCAATCTGAGCCTGCTGACTGAGAGTGCGCGGGCGCGCGCGCGCGTGTGTGTGTGTGAATGTAACGTAGTGCCTCGCTTTGTGTGTTGGCAGTCAGCCCTTTCGAAATGTGTGTCAGCGCTATGTGTGTCTGTTTTGAGGACAGCGTGTGTATATTTGGCTAAAATGTGCTAAATGTTAAAGGTGTGCATGAGTGTGCGCGCAGTTGCCGCGCGCGTGTGTGTGTGTTTGTCAGGCCACCGCTTCAGTGTCTGATTGCAACAGCAGATGGCTGAATCACCGTGACCTCCCAGAGTGCGGCTCCTGCACGCGTGTGTGTGTGTGTGTTTGTGTGTGTGTTTTGGTTTATACTAGACACACCTATGCACAAATCCCTGACAAGACATAAAATGACAGCTAGAGGACAGGATCACAGATTTAAGCACTTTTTTTTTTCATCACCATCATCCAACATGAGCGTTTTCAAAGGCACACGCTGTTCTCAGGCAGGCTTTTCAAAACCACAAAGTTCACACACAGTCGTAAAAAGTGCAGCCATTAAAAGGCCTGCTCCCGCTCTCCAGGCCTGTTTTTGTGTGCCTCTCCCTCAGACTCCCAGCATTTAAGTGTTTTTTCTTCTGAATCTACAACTGTGTGTTTTTTGTCAGAAACTTAGTTTGCCCTGCGGTTCCTCTGAGCAATATTCATCCTAATCCAGTTTTCCAGTGAGTGATGGAGAGAGCCCTCTGAGTTAGAGCAGGAGGGGGAGGAAGACCTTGTGTCCTCTGCTGTGTCTTTCCAACACCCAGTTGACCTTTCAGCGTGATTATTATGTGTGTCACATCTACTGTTTAAGACCTTATATTATATGTGTTTTCAGCATTTATAAACCATCTCCCTGACTGACTTCTTGGTATCTAGCTATATTAAATTGTGGCTTACAACAGAGCAGCTCCTCAGACTGTGTGGATGCAAGAATCCGATTTGGAGCATCTAAAAACCTCCCTTCACAGTTGTGAAAGGGGGCACATCAAATCTCTCTTTTGCCCTGTAGCACTACAAACAGTGAGGGCTTTGGTAGTGGGTAGTAGGGTTGCCAGGTTGGATCCTACCTGCACAAATCTGGGGAAGTGAACGGGACATATGGTGCAATGTGGCTGGATGTGTTAAAGCATGACACTCACATTGCCAAGGCTAAAGATGTTGGCATGTTTCTACAGACAATAGCACAGGTTAGCAGAACCAAACACGGTGCTGTTTCGACTGCAGAGAGTGCAGGTATGCTGGTGGAGTTTGTCGCATGCCAGCTGCCACTGTGTGACCACATAAAAAATGAAAATTGGTCTCAGCTTCCTGTTTGTTGGACCAAAAAGCGCCTAACTCTTGATGCTGTGAGCCACTTGATGCCGCTCTAAGTGTTCTCACCATTTGATGAGGATACTGTTGACTTCAAGGTTCATGAGTGGAAATTAAAAAAACAAATATCAATGAGTGAATATGAAATTGTATGTGGCAGAACGTTTTTCACTGTTTTTCTGTGTCAAGCTCAGTTGTTAGTATATTGTAGCATATTTCGTATGGGCTGGGGCGCTGTCACCACCCTGAAACCTAAATAGAAAGTCCATTGAATAGCATGTATGACACTGTCAGACAAAGTACTTGATGCATACTTATCATTTTATTAAGCTGGCTTTTTTTCCCCTTCTAAATTGAGTTTTTTGAAAACTCCAGAGTGGATGAATCTGAACTTGCTGGCCTTGTGTTTTAGTGTGAATGGGGAAAACAGAGCTTTTGGAGAACAATGACCAAAGCCTGGTTCAGGGCTGTGTGGCAGTAAAATGAAGCAAGACAACTTTGTGTTGCCTCCAACCAACACAATCACTAATTAAAAATGTCAGCCAATAACACAGCACAGCTGCTGTCATCAGCCTGCGCACAAATCACTATTTTATGCTCCTTCAGTAGTCTGAAAACAGTATGTGGATGAGAACAACTGAACGGTGAGTTTGGCTTTATGAAAACACAATATAGGTCATCATAAAGTCAGCTGAGACGGGCTGTGTCCGTCCTACTGCTCGATGTCTGTGACACACACTTTTGTAGTTTTTCAAACTACAGAGAAGGAGGAAGACATCAACTTCCTGTCAATGAGGCACTTTATTGTGGATGGAAGCTATACCAGAAAACGCTGGTGTGGATGTGAAACCTTTTCACATGTAAACATTAAGAGTGGACGTAGGCTCGGTTGCGTGGTGGTTTTAGTGGTTGTGGTGGCAGTGGGCAACTCCCAGTTATGAAAGGTAGAGGGGAGGGGGTGATAAGAGCAACCATGCAATTTGCCCTGAATATATTTAAGTTTGAAGAAGCTCTTTTAAATTGCTCATCACAGAAACTCAAGAGTTTTTGTCCAGAAAGAGACATTGGAGTTTTTGTTCCGTGCCATGCATGAATACCCAGTTCTTCCCTTCTCATCTCGCAGACCCTCTCCCCTCTGCTCACTTCCTTTGTGCCTCAGTCTCCAAACTTTTGGACCATTTGCCCTTAAAGATGAGCTTTTTCAACGCGTCCATATGCGAGTGCTTTGTGTTTGTTTGTGTATGACCGTCTGGTTTAACTCCTACTTTCAACAGCTGTGGCGAATGCAGCCAGACCTTCATTGCCAAGTCCCCCTCTCTTTTCCTACTCCTACTCTGCTTCTGTCTGTCGGCTGGCTTTTTTTTCTTTCTTCTCTCTCTCCGTCTCTCTCTGTTCTCTCCCTCTCCTACACGCACGCACACATGCAGGCACATGACACACACACCTCAGGCTTGATATTCATAGCCTCCTCCTCCTTCACTTGACATGGGAGCCTTAACAGATGTGCCCCAGCCTTGAGCTGCCTCCCCCTTTCTCTCCCCCCCTCTGTATTGCTTCGTGCTTCACAGATTTACTATATCTCTTGGTTTGGGGGGGGAAAAACCCTGAAATTTAATTTGGATTTGCATAGTCTATAGATTCTGATTCATAAAACAAACAAACAAACAAAAACAACAACACCAGTGACTGTACCAGTGTAAGATGGACACCCAGTTGGGCACCTTCTGGCCGCCCTCTACCACCTACACTCAGTTAATGAACATACTGAAAAACAATCTAATATGTGAATAAAATATAGGTGTGTTTCTTTGTCTCAACATAACTTCAACTTTAGATTCGGTTTGATTTGTGCACTTTAGTCAAATATCATTTTTATTACATTTTGCAAAGCGTTTGAAATAATTGCTCCAATCTCAATCCCATTACTATCACTAATTCTTCATTTTCTGCCTTATTTCTGCTGTTAAAACCTCGCCTATTCCTGTTTTGGAGTTTCAGCGGAGTCTGTGTGTGTGTATGTGTGTGTGTGTGTGTGTGTATGTGTGTCTCTCTCTCTCGCTGTGTGTGCGTGCGCGCGCAGCCAGTGCCGTGCGCTGGAGGCTTATGGTAATTGCGGTCTCCCGACTGGCCTTCTGGGTAGAGTCTGCGCGAGTGGGAGTGGAGCGAGTCGCTCGGTCTCGGCAGCGTTCATCCATTCTGTGCGGCACTCCCCGTACAGCTCCGTGCGTCCTCGGTGCGAACCGGGGTGTTCTCTCTTCGCTCGTCGAAGAAAACGCGGGACGGAAAGCTACACGGAATAACCTTCAGCAAACCTTCCGAGACACGGATTCCGGTGTCGGAGAGGACATGGAGTGACTGAGAGCGAGGGAAAGGGGCTTTTTCCGAGGACGGCGTGCTCCGCTGAAACCCAACATGGCGCTGCTGCGAGGTACGGCCGAGCTGAATTAATTTCTCCGCGAGTCCGCCGACCTCGCCACCTGTATCCTTTGGGGGCCCGGGCCGCACAGCGCATCGGCTCCCCGACTTAAAGGACCTTTGTTTTCTTTTGTGGATTTCTCTACATCCTGACGTTTGTTTTTCCTCCGCGCAGGATCTTTTTTGTTGCTTTATGGCTTCCCAAGTGACATTTGCAGCAGCAAAAAAGTCCGCTTGAAATATAGGGTAATGGATGAGAGTTGCTTGTAGACAATAGAATCAGGACCCAGAGCTTTATATGTAAGACTTGTTCTGTTTCGTGACAAGTGGATAACCTGTTAGGCACTTTTAGTTGTTTTTTTTTTCTTTGGCCGGGATTGTCTGTCTCCAGCAGACAGGACCGTAACCGGGCCAGTCTACGTATACGCACGGATCGCTGTCCTCCTAGTTAACTTGGGAAAAACAGGAAAAAGGCGTTGAGGCGCACGGACGGCGGCTGGAACTAGCACCAATTAACCAGGTGAGGCAATCAATGACACATCTAACTGTATTTTCTATCGCATGAGTCTTTTGGTGATGTGAAAGCTCCTGGATGAGGACAGAAAACGCGCAGCGCTCTCAGTTTTTGTTTTTTTTCTTTTAAAACAGTCCAACAACAGCCAGGATGCTCTTAAATGGATCGATGTTTTCATACAGTGTATTTTTAAATCAGACATTCTTTCCCGGAGGGTTGAATCTGAACGCGAAAGCCCGGTGTTGTGCGCAGAGACTGGGAGAGGATCGGCCACTTCTAAGAATAGCGCATAGGGTGGTCTTTGTGCGTTTCGGCGGGGCAGTGGCATGTGCTTGATAAATAACACGCACACGCACACACACACACACGTAATGATCCGACCGTGAGCTTGGCCTTTTTACAAGGTGAGAAGGACGTCCCAGAGATTAGCGGACTTGAAAGTGGCGCCGTCCTCGATGGTGAATATTCAGGCTTTTCGCACTCCGTTGAGTGACGAAGTGTGTGAGTGCCTGTGGGGCGAGGGTGGGAGTGTGTATGTACGCGTGTGCGTGCGCGCACACGGAGCTTCTGCGCTAAACAAGGTTACGGAATTCAGCCTCGCCCTGCCAACGGGAAGCGAGCGGTGCTGCTCCGTTTATACACGGTTCAGTTCAGTTGGAGGGCATCCCCGCGGTGTGTGTGCGTGTTGTTTGTGTGACAGCTGAGTGTGTGTGTGTGTGTGTGTGTTCGTGTGAGTGGGGGCGGTGTGGGGGGGGCTTTGTTTGGACAGAGTGGACGTTGATCAGTCCTCTCATCAGTCCCAAAGGTGGTGTGGGGAAAGGTGTGGGGAGGGGGAGACGGGACTGCACCGCTCACCTTCCTGTCTAGTTGATGGAAACCACTCTGGCATCGTGCCACCACACACACACACACACACCACCAACACACACACACACTCTTCATGTCTTGCAGGTGTTTCTCCGAAATGACTTTGTGCTACAGTATGTGTCTTCCACTCTCGCCACCGCAGTCTTGCTGTGAGACTAGTCTTTTTCCATTTGCGGGGAAATATCCTTTGCGCACGGAGGATCCAGACAGCTTAAGACCCCCCCCCCCTCCCCCTGCAGCTCCAAATGCGCGCTGCTCTCTTGGAGGGGAGAAAGTGCCACCCAGACTCTTAATAATATAAAAAAAATTGTTTTTAAAAAGTTGTCTTATTCTCGTCACCGTAATTTCCCATTACGTGAATAGCTTGGCGATCTTTATCGAATTACAAACCACTTTGTAATTCCCCTTAAATCCACTAATTTCCATCTTCCATTTTTAACTTTAAAACATTTATTTTACTAATTCTTTATAGCCCCCCTCCTGCACCAGTGTGGGCGGCAGCGATGAAACCTCTTCTCGATAAAAGTTGCTGTTTGAAATTGGAAAGAAGTGCTGCAAGGCATTGCTGGATGTGTTTCCAAAACGGAGATCGTCTTTCCTAACGATTCTTTTAAAGCTCCTCTGGTCGGCTCGTAGCCTGCATTTTCACGACCGGCAGAACCAGCATTAAACCAGAGCATTTTCTTTTCTCAAAGGCACTCTGCGAGGACCACAACTCTTCACGTCGCAGGGGAACGGCTCATATCGCGGGAGTCTTCCTCCCGTGCCGCCCTGCCTGCTGCCTGTCCTGGAGGCCACACAGGCACTAATTAGGGGACGCTCTCTTTAGGACGATCGATGTGCCTCATATTTCGGCTGGCTCCAGCTCATTGACGAGCTTAGTTGAGGGAAGCAAGCTACTAAAAGGACCGCTTACCCCGGCAGCCAATGCGCTTCAGGATCCACAGCACAGAAGTCGCTCACAACGCCAGCGTTCTCCGTGTCCGGGGTGGGAGAGCACGACCTCGTGTTGGGACCTTTTTTGGAGGAAACGGAGCAGGGGGTTAACTGGTGGGGGGATTTGGAGGGCTATTCAGGGGGGATTTGATGCAGAATTAAATCTTAATTGTATTTTAATTAGACCCCGGACCGGAAAAAGGTAAAGACATGTGTCAAGAATTTAGATTTGATCGTGTAGTTTTTTTTAAAAAAAAAAGATAAAAACAAAACCACTGGAGATCTGGGTATTTGAAGCTTTATGTAAAAATAAAACGATTTAATTAGAGCATGTGCTAATAATTTACCAAATAACATGTATGATGTATCATTTCTCTTCCTTTTCCTTTTTGAATTGAGCTTTGTTTGGTTGGAAATAATGGATACGATCGCGTCCTTTTGGATTTCTCACTTAAAAACACAAGTGGAGGTCATCCATTATGCAGCTTGTGCCATCAGTTAATCTCCAGTTGGCCTATTGCCCAAAAAACACCACCTTGTTCTGTCCTCGGCCTCTTTTCTCAATAATTCACAAACTTGGTAGCAAGAGATGGCCCGGTGGCTCAGGCTTTTTAAAGTGCTCTGGTTGATCTTATAGGTAATAAAGCCTGTTCCCCCAAGCGTTGCATGTTGCGAAGCGTTAAAACAAAATACTTCACATTTTGTGTGGGCCGAGTTTATTTATAGTTACCCCGTCGGACTGTTTTGTGCATCATTTTTCCCACTGTGCGCTGTGATGTTCAGTGTGGGGCTGATCTGTTTTACCAGGTGTTGGAACACAGAGGGGAGGGCTGTTACCATAAGATCGACACACTGATTCTCTCTTCACTGTCTCTTTTCATGCCAGAGAGGACGTCGCACTTCTTTCAGAAAGTGTTTTATTACCCAGCTCCATTAGTGGCCGAAGTGGGGGTTCAAGTGTGGTCCAAACACATTCATTTGGCCTTTTATCGCATTTATACATATTACATTTTATTACAAACGTGCAGAAAAGACTTACTAATGAAGGTTTCACTATCCACCTATGCCAGTACTCGTTCACAGTAATCTCAAAACAATAATAGTCCACTACATTTCCAATCAACTAGGGATGGACTTAATGTGTGAATATTCCCAGTTGATAAATCCACCAGCTACGGGTTTACGTGCTGGTCCTGTGTGTGTGTGTGTGGGTGTGTGTGTGTGGGCGGGGGGGGGTGCACCTGAAAGTAGCAGCAGCCCGTACCTGCTGGGCCACCATTGTCATGCTGAGTGATGTGGGCGTGGTTTCTGTCTCATCCGGGACCTTTGTGCAACATAAGAAGTAGAGGTGTGTCCTCATGGCGATCGGTGAGTGCAATAACAGTTAAATTCCATGATGCTTCCTGGGTTATATTTGGTGGGGTAGGCTGAAGGAGTCTCCGCGTGCGTGTGTCTTCAACGGCGTACGATCCTATCCTGCTATCCATCTTCCACCTATTTATAGATTACCCAATTATGT